GTTTTTAAATGGATCTGTGCCCTTCCTTCTGACAGTCAGAGAATAACAGAGAAGCGATCCAAAAAAAAGAGAACTTATTTCTGCTCTGACTATAAACAAAGACAAAAATCCAGCTGACTTCAGTGGGCAGCTTCTATTATCTAGCAAGATATATGGAATTACTTTTCAGTGTTATGAAAGTCAGAAGGGCACTCCTGGTAGATATTGCACTTGCACTTAAAGAGAAGACCTTGTTGTCAAATAGATCACAAAGATCCTGCTGAAATTAATAAGGGGAGAGTTCTGCAAAACTGTAAGACCTGAAATAATCTAAATCTCTTGCTGCTTCCTCAGTTAAAATCAGAGAACTTTTAATTTGAAATAAACAAGTTTGTCCCTGTTACAAAACACTAGATTGAATGTGATGTTTAAAAGTGCTGCAGTTTCTGTATAAGTAAAATAGAACAGATTTTTCTGCTGTGCTGAATTCCAGAGTGGCACTCACCTGCTTTCTTCTCCCTGCATTCAGAACCAAACGTTTCTGCATGTAAAAGGAAAGATTCAGCTGGGAAGATTCCAAATGCGGAGTCGTGATGTCCATCTCACAGATAGCTTCCTTGATGATCTAAATTTTCTGCCTGCTGAATATGATAAAGGGGAATATTTTAAATTCCTAGAAGATTATGGAACTCACTATGCAGTCTCTGGAACTGTAGGAGGAAAATACGAACTTGTGTATGTGCTGGATAATTACGCTATGTCTCAAATAGGTATGCATTCTGCTGGTCTTGCTATAGTATGCAGATTATCACCAAGTCTCCATTCATACAAAGAGCTGGATGAGGATAGATCTATGTATATGGAGCACTACTGAGAACAGCACAGTTCAGTGTATGCTGCTTGTGGCAAACCATTGACAGGAGTTCAACAGAGATGAGGGACAGTCTTTTTAACTTTCAGAATTATTTGAACTCCATATTTTAAGTCTGTAACTGAAAGAAAAAACACAAAACAAAAAAACCCACCACCAAACCAAAACTAGACAACAAAACCTCTTCAAAATATTAGCAATACTAATTAGTGTGACTTGTTTCACAAGAGATCCCCAGTGCCTAAAAAATCTGCCTAAACCTTCAGTTGAGTTTGCTAGTTGGTACCTTCTCGTGGTACAGTTTCTCTAAGAGTATGGTGCTAGCAAAAATTAAGGAATAAATTGAAGAACTTCCTAGAAATCACATGGTGCTCTTGAGTGTGTTGAAACTGTTTTTATAGACTTTAACATCCACACTGGAATTTTCCTTGCCCTGGTTAAGATAGGAAAGCAGCAGTTTAATTCTTCCTCGTGCAGTTCAGATATATGTGGTTTTGTAATGGATTAACGTGATCACTCTGGAATAAAGTTGAAAAAGGCATCCTGATTTTGGAGACAGAAAATAAGTACCGGCTTCATGCAGTACCAACAACAATATTACTATCAGATGTTCAGACTATGCAAAGGGACACGGAGCAAAGATGTCACTTACTTATCCCACTGTTACTCTGCTCGGCACCTGGAGATTGTGGTGCTGGTTTTTGGGGTTTTTTTTAATTACCAATTTCAAGCAAAAATTTTCCAAACACAAAAATGAAATTCCAGATGATATGTTTGAGTTTAAAAAATAGAAAATAGGTGTTTGAGGCAGTAGCAGATAGAGGAATTTTAGAATTTATGGGAATAGAGTACTTGTAAGAGATTACTGGTGTTAATTAATTTTATGAGGAAATGGAGTAGAGAAACTTTGTTTGATGTTGTGAGGATTAAATGATTTAGCACATAAAACCAGCAAATGATAAACATCTGAGAAAGACAAAATTCCAATAGAATATATGGAAAGAGTGGTCCCTAGAGGAATATCTGCTTTCAGCCAGATCAAGAAAAATAGAAATGAGGTTTTGGAAGGTTTTGGTGTTTTCCTAATCACTGTAGTTCTCACCTGCCTCTGTGCGAGTACTTCAAAAACAATAATTCTCACATTTATTTAATGGAAGTGCAGAATAAGCAGAAGATAAATGGGAAGAAGAAAGCTATAAACATTTCCAGTAGCCCTGAAACTTATTCTTCAAGAATAATAATATCACATTATTTATGGTAATTCAGTCCCTCTAATTGCCTAATTATTTCAACTTCCAGGTATCACTGTAGAAGATGTGAAAAGATGTCTTGGCTATCACTTAGATGCCAATATTGCATATAAAAACGTACATGCCAATGTTAACATTGATGGTGGTAAATGTGAAAAGATTAAGGTGAAGGACAACTGTAAGTATATCCTTATTTACATTATTGGTTTTATTTTCAGCCACAACAACCCCCAGCAGTGCTACAGGCTTTGGGAGGAGTGGCTGGAGAGCTGCCAGTCAGAGAGGGACCTGGGGGTGTTGATTGACAGCCGGCTGAACAGGAGCCAGCAGTGTGCCCAGGGGGCCAAAAAGGCCAATGGCATCCTGGCTTGTGTCAGCACTAGCGTGGCCAGCAGGGACAGGGAAGGGATCTCACCCCTGTACTCGGCACTGGGGAGGCCGCCCCTCGATTCCTGTGTTCAGTTTTGGGCCCCTCACTACAAAAAGGACATTGAATGACTCGAGCGTGTCCAGAGAAGGGCAACGGAGCTGGTGCAGGGTCTGGAGCACAGGTTGTACGGGGAGCGGCTGAGGGAACTGGGGGTGTTTAGTCTGGAGAAGAGGAGGCTGAGGGGAGACCTCATCGCCCTCTACAGCTCCCTGAAAGGAGGGTGCAGAGAGCTGGGGATGAGTCTCTTGAACCAAGGAACAAGCGATAGCACAAGAGGTAATGGCCTCAAGTTGTGCCAGGGAAGGTTTAGACTGGATATTAGGAAGCATTTCTTTACAGAACGGGTTGTCAGGCGTTGGAATGGGCTGCCCAGGGAGGTGGTGGAGTCCCCATCCCTGGAGGTGTTTAAGAGTCGGGCTGACATAGTGCTGAGGGATCTGGTGTAGTTGGGAACTGTCAGTGTGAGGTTAATGGTTGGAACAGATGATCTTCAAGGTCTTTTCCAACCTTGATGATTCCATGATTCTATGATTCTGTGGTCAGGGTGAAAGTCTCTTAGTGGGAAATATCACAGAATCACAGAATGGTTGAGGTTGGAAGGATCCTCTGGAGGCTATCTTGTCCAACTCCCCTGCTCAAGCAGGGTCATCTACAGCCTTAGGTGCTCACTCTACCCAGCAATTGGCCCTTGGATCCTCTTATCTCTAGTTGCCTTATACAGACACACACTCACATACAAACGGGTTGCAGTCAACCCCAGGACCTTGGGGTCTCTCCAGTATTTGGCCTAGAACCGCTGGTCACTCCAACAGCCAGCTTCTCTAGTTGTCTCACTCTAGAGACATCTACATATCTATGCCAGACAAACAGACACTTTGATAGTTGGCTCCCAAACCACTTACCCTAAGCCCTTGCTCATCTGACTTGATATTTTTTAGTGATCAAACACTGAGATATGTAACCTCACTTGCTTCAGTTACTGGCATCACGAACACCAGGTCCCTATCAGCCATTGTCCAGCTCTAGTTGATGGCACACAGATCTCCACATGCACACATGCAGAATAGAGTTCCCTCACCCAGGAAAATAATTAGAAATGGAATTTAATGGTAAGCCAGGACAGACAAGCTTACTGATCAGCCACCTTTCTATATGCAATCAGTCCCCTTTTTCACCTTTATCCCTCTATTTTCCCGTACTTGTTCCTCCCAAAGCCACCTTGATCCCCTCCTTACCTCTTCAATGGCAATCTCCTAAATATACTTCAAGTATTTAAGTTTATGCAATCCCAAAATGCCTATCTTTGCATCCAGAGAGCCTTTCCATTGATTCACGTTGCTGTTGACTCATCCTCCACCTCATCCTGTGGGGCTAGTGGCTCTGCTAGGACAGACCTGGGAGAAGTTAAGGCAGGGGCTCCTTTTCTCTTATTAGGCTACTTGTGCCACCCTGCCTGTCATTGTTCCATTCTGTTCCTTTGTGTGTCTGGAGACAATTAGTTTGTCACATGACCTAAAAATTGCAACAGGCAAGGAGATTTACTACTGAGCACAGAGGAGGCAATTATTTTCAGTGCTCTGTTCTTGGGTTTTAGCTATGAAGCAAAAGCTCTTACTATTCTAATTCCTGTGCTTTTCTGGTTCAGCTCAGGTGATACAGTATTCACAGTATGATTATTCATATTATCTTTGGCTTGTTATCAAATGGCTCTGATCTCCATAATAGTTCTCCGTTTTGCCCTACCCCTTCTTTTCCTTTCAGATACAGGGTTTTCTAATTTAATGGCAAAATAGAAGATTTCCTCACACGTAAGAGGTATGAGCAAAGAAAGATTTAATTCCACCACAGCCAGTGAGTGAAGGGTTCTCTCTATGGTCATTTTATAAAGGTGGACAGGTTGCACTAAAACTATGACTGTTCTTCAAGATGCATGGCCATTAAACTTTCTTCTTCTTTCTTCTTTCTTTCTGCAGCAGAACTTAAGGATGATGCTGTCATTGATGATGTAATTTCCTTAGTTGATGGAGGGAAGATTGACTTTTCAGTTAAAATAAAAGAAATGTTACTGCGAGGATCCAAAACGGTTGATGTAGAGGATTACATACAGTGGGCTAAGTCTTTGGTTGATGCTCCAGTAGTAATACAGCAACGGGTAAGTACAACTTCTTCAAAGCTATGGCTCCTAATGTTTGAGAGCTTTTGTTGTTGATAGAGGTGACACTGCAAGTTTATAATGAACTTTTGGTGTTTTCTTCAACTTGACAGTTTCTTCAGATGCTTACTCTAGTGATAGGTATATCAAAAGTACTAGAACATCAGAAGAATCTGTTATTCATGGGCTTTTTTTCTTCTGCAGCCTTCTCCAATACATACACTTGTGCCAGTTAAGATGAGAAATGCATATTTAAAGAAACAAAATTTGGAAAGAGCAATTGAAGACTACATTACCGAATACAGTGTGTGCAAATGTGAACCATGCAGAAATGGAGGAACCCTTGTGCTGGTAGACGGAGCCTGTACATGCATGTGCTCAAGCTACTTTAAGGGAATTGCTTGTCAGATTCCCAAATCTACATTAATTAAAGGTTAGTAAATACTCCAGACAGGCTAATATGAGTATACTTGTTATTATGAGCAATATCCTGACAAAATGAACCTTCATAAGGACAGAAGGATGTCATAGTACTCCCTTACACCTACTGCTGACAAATCTCATGGGTATATGGTGTGGAAGTCAGTGTAAGTTACTGGGCTCTTTCCATAAAGAAGGCACTTTAAATTAGAGTTAATTGTCCCACATATATTGTGTGTCTTGGAATGATACCCCAAGTTCATTTAAGTAAACAGGAGCATTATTGAAGCATAGTGCAGTAATGGTAAACTGATTTCAGGCAAAAGCAGTCTCACCACATCATAAGCTATTTTGTCTTCAGTTTCCTGCAAAAGTGCTGTGTCTGCTAACACTTGATCACATTTTGTAATTACTGTGTGAGCTTAATATTAGATTGGTCTACAAAGGAGAAGAGTGAGATTAATGCAGTTCCACAACTGATGATGTAAACTATTTATTGTGCAGTAAATCCATTCTCTGTGGCCAAGTTTTTAAAGCACAGGTGCCCAAAATAGGCATTAGAACTTAATATTCAGGCAGCTTCCTAGGGTGACAAAAATGTTGAAACTTCTGGGCTCTTAAGCAGTGCCACTGACAAGGACATTTTCAAAAGTCTGATCTGTGCAATGGGTTATATGTGAAGGCTGCAATGATCTGCAGAGTGACCATAACTGAGACTGTAACAATAGAATCATGGTCTGCCTTGTCCACACCCAAAAGTGTCAAGTAAAAAGCTCTTATTAAACTTTTTGTCACAATACAAAAGATGGAGAGATGTTGGACTAATCCTAGTATGGTCTCTTAATGCCAGTCGTCACTGATGGAGGCTGGAGCTGTTGGAGTGCCTGGTCCACCTGTATCAATGGAGAAAGCATTCGAACTCGCCAGTGTAATAATCCTACACCAGAACCCGGTGGCAGACCATGCCAGGGAGAAAGCATTGAAAAACGACCTTGTGGAGAAGCAAAATAGTTATGCTGCTCAAAAACAGGTAAGCAGCCTCTTTGATTACTAATGTGTTATTGCTGTTTAGAATAAATGGTCAGCCGATATTTGGGGCTTTTCAGTGACACAGTTGAAATGATGCGTGTCAATTTACATGTTTCATTTAAATATGCGACTTGATACAGCTTTTAAAAACAGCCACCTTGTAGCTCAAATAATTTGTGAATGGTTAGATTTGTATTTGAATGTCTTGACAAGTAGTAGTGTGTCACAGAACTCAAGACTAAAATGGAATTCTGGATAAGAACAGAACAAAAATCCAGCTCTTAAAATTCATCTCCAGTCAGATTCTTCATCAAAAAAACTTATGTTCTTAGGGAGAGGGAAAGAAACATATTTTCCAGAAATAAAATATAAAGACATTTGGGGAGTCTGAATTCTCTTATTTGATAAATAGAATGTTTAAATCTAACAAAGCTACAGATACAGAAGTTTTGAAACCTATAGCTTGAAAAAAAATAGTTTAAGAAAATGTGTAGGTACATGTTTTACATTTACATTAACATTAAAAAAAAAAAAAGTAATATAATACTGCAAATCAAAACAAAGCAAAAAAACAGGATTTTGAGGATGGATGCTCTGGTTCATAAAATGGCAAGGTAGTCTCAACTTTCTTCACCTGCTGAGAGCAACAAGCTTGCATGCCACTTGGATGTTACAGTGAGTTTTCAGGCCCAGGAGGAAGTGTTTGTGTTTTATACTTAAGTTACCATAAGTTCCTTTTCTGAGAGGCCACAAGAAAAAAAGAGGTGGCAAGATTTTGGATTTTGAATGTTTCCCCACTGAAACACCCTCATGGTAGGTTTTGCAACATGATCTCTACCTGCACCAGAAGTATGTATAAGATTTCATCTGTGCCTGCCCTCTCTCAGCTTCAGTAGAGTTCAGCTACATCTAATATTCTACTTGCGAAGCACCCTGAAGAAAGCATGGCCAGCAAGACATAACAGCATTCCTGGGCCATCTCCTACATCAGGGAATTAAAAACTACCTCCTACAGCACCACATCTCCAGGCTATCAAAAGTACTTATTCCACAGGTGGAAGAGAGAAAATTGAGAGACCAATAGGATACAGAGCTGGAAAATCAAGAGAAATATGAAGAAGCAAGTATAAGAAGCAGGAGAAATTAAATAAAACTAGCAAGCTGCAGATTCAAAACAGACTGAAGACTGGTCCTTCATACAGTGGGCATACCAAAAATAGATATGCATTTTAAAAACTGCAACACAAACTAATGGAAGTTTCTCAAACATGTAGATAATCATTCTCACTCAGGAGGTCTCTGAAGCATCAATTTTGGCAGGATGGGAAAGTATTCTGGGGAAGTTTTTCTATGTGTTTCCCTACTCCTTGATATTCCCGAGGTTGGTGCTACTGCTCTCGTTAAAAACAGGCACCAAGCTAACATTTGCTTGACCCAGTTGGTCTTATTTTTAAAAAAATCTCATAAACCACTTAATTTTATTCCTGCACTGTATCATTGACATGTTTCTATTCAGCCATTACAGCAAATACCGTGATGAATATTCATGATACATACATACCCAGATGTTTCCTCTGGTATGTTTTAGTAAAAACTCTTTTTAAAAAATTAACCTCTTTAGCTCCTGACATAACAGACATGTTGAGCACTTCTCAAAATCACAGTATGTGTTTTGATTCATTCTTCGTTAGAATTATTTTACATGCAGTCACATTTAAGAAATAGTGAAATCATGTTCTTGGTGAGCCATGAGAGTATTATTTCACTTAAATTTTGACCAATATGTATGTCATAGCTACTATCTTCTATCACTTCTTTACTATTTTTTCTCATTTTTTAGAAAACAATAATGGATTTCAAACCAGTTCTACAAATCACAGTTTCTGCTAGCCAGCTAACTAGCTACTCAAGAGCAAGGAAATGCCATAATTTAAAAGCACCTACAACCTAAATGATTGCTAATCTAAACAAAATAATACACCAATAAACATCTTAACAAATAAGAGCTGATGCAGTGGGTGTGGTCTATATTTTATTTGTCTGTGGCTGTCATTACAGTATGAATTATCTATCTTTGTTAGTCAATGGCATAATGGTGTCCCCTTTGTCAATGTTTTTTTCATAACTCTTTATGGTATGTTTTCAAACTGATTTTCAATAATTCAATTTCATGAGCACCAGAATAATATATACACAGCATCAGCTGATTGATGGTACATTTTTAGTAAAAAACCTGGGAGAGTAATTATCTTCAGCCAAATGCCCTTGTGGGTTTATTTCCAACGCTACATATTACATCTAATTTGTGCCCTGAATCACAAGTATGTTTATGAAGACATGCAGCTTTACTAGAGTTACTTACTGTTGCTTCTCCCAACATTTGCTGAAGAGCCTGACATTTTATCTTGTATATCTATGTCACTGTGTTAAAGATTTTTATATTAAGTCAGAGGCATTTTTCAAAGGGATAGAAGAGTTGTTTTATTACCATCCCTATTTTTAGCAAAACTTCCAAAGGGAACAAGGATGAGACAATTGTATTGCCATTGCACCTACCTGTCAGTCTTCCTCAGTGACTTTCGAACCTAGCAGATAATTACTGGAAAGATTGTTTGGGGTGGGGAGGAAAGGTAGTTCTTAAAGAAGCTTCATGAAAAAAGGCAGCTACATTGAGAAAACAAAAATAAATCAGTATCCCTGTTGAGGAAAAAATACTGTTAACTTAGCTATTCTACTAGACACCAAAATATCTACATAGAAGCAAGATACAAGGAAACAGTTTTCCTTTCAAAAGTTAAGAATAAAGATATAGGAGGGCTGAGTGGCTCAGAAAGACAGGAATGGTAAAAGCTATCAGATCAGTGACATCAGTCCCTTACATACTTGAATACCAGGTCTGGAAGAGTCCTCTGGAATGTTCTTTACCTGCCTCCTGTCCACCACAAGTGACCCTGAAGACCTTTGCGCACCAAAGACCAAACATCATAAAAGAAAGCAGAACCGTTTCCCAGGCACCTATGGTAGAAAAACAACCAAAAAGTGAAAGTGTACTGTTGACCAAAGAAAGTGAATCACACTCTGTGCCACAAAGGCAGACCAAAACCAGTCTTTCACTGGTTCCTGCCACCATGAACAGTTTCCTTCACACCACAGAAGTGGAAATGGGCTTCCACTAATTAATAGGCTTCCACTAACTAATGTTCCCAAGTGCAAACATGGGATTTTCTCAATAGATGAAGCACACACAGCTAGCATCCCTGCAGTCTTCCTAGGAAAATTCAGAAAGCCTCAAACCTCACACTTAGGTAATCCTCAAACCTCACACTTAGGTAATTTGCTACACTGCGCACCTGGAATAAAGCTGCTCTTGGTGAAAGATCTGATGTTACTGCCTCACTATGGGAACAGCAGGCATCTTCATCAAGAGCAGAGCTGTCAGATATCAGGAAATCCCTAGCAGACAGAACAATTTCTCAAGAGTTGCACATGCAAACTTAAAAAAAATAAAAATAAAAAGAGGACAGGCCAAAGGAAACCTACCATATTCTGAGATTTAACCCTCAGCGTGACCAGACATGCTGACCAAGCATCTTTCGTTACAGTTAGTATCCTCCATCCGACAAACAGGGGTTTTTCTAACATCAGAATCCTCCTTGTCCTGTCATTGTCTCTTTCATAAACTGCTCATGTAGGGAAGCCTTACTAATCTCCATTGTCCTCTATCCTCTTTGGAAGATCTTTACTGAATATGAATGAATATAAATTAATACAAAATTTTGTCTAATTCCCATTTCAGATGTACTCACAGCCTATTTATACCCATTTGATTTCAATCCTTTATTTTTTAGTATAAATAATCATTCTTCATTGGTACTTATGTACCTTGTCATAGCTTTTTTCATCTCTACTTTCTGAGTAGAAGCAAGCACTTTCAGTGTCCTTTCAGAAGTCAAGAAGTCCTACTCATACTAGAAGAGTTCACCTGTACCAGTGTCAATTTAAATTCATGGTCATTCAACATAGTTGACTATACCTACACACAGATCTCTAAATGTGTTCTTATTGGTGCTCTGCACAAATTCTTTTCCTGCATCTCAGAAATCATTTGCCTGCTGTGCACTTGAATCACATGCATTTTTCACATCTGCATGTCATCTAGTGATTCATACTTACTGTCTCCCTGGCTCAAAGCAAAAATTCATGTTCTTAGCCCTAGGTATATGACTTTATCATTAAACTTTGGCTGACTTCTGTCACTCCAATACACAAAGCCTTCTCATTCTTCCTGTGCAATGACCTGAGTCTCCCCAGCATTAGTAGAACTATTCAGTTTAGTACATCTCCAGATAACATTGATATACGCCCAGCTCTTGAACCAGACTCCTGACCCAGGTAATGAGCAGGATCAGTCCCATGACCCATGCCTGCAGAACACTTCTAGTAATCCCAGTTAAACTCAGAAATACCCCTTCCACTTCTAAACAGATGTTAGTTTACCTAGTTCCTTATCTACCTTTCAGTCTTTCTGACAGGTCACATCCTCTCCCGATTCTCATCACTTAAAATTTAATGAAGGCCATTATATGAAATACTCTGCTTAAATCTAGATAATTCAAAGTAATTGTATTACCTTTACCTAAAGTGCCTGTTAAACTTTGTAAAACAGATATTAAGCTATTCAGATGTAATCCATCTTTAATAAAACCTACGTTAAATGTAACTAAATATACCTAATATTTTCTCTTTCAAAAAGTTTTTTTCAAATTTGTTCTTGGAGTTGCATAATGTTGTGCTTAAGTAAATAAACCTGTAGCTGTCCTAGTAATTTTCCACTTCTTAGAAAAGAGGTAATATGTTTGCTAATTGCCACTATAGGTACCTGTAGAGGTATTTGCTATTACCTGTATAAGAGATAATATCAATATATTGTATTAAGAGTTTAATTGAAAACTAGTGATTTGGAACTTAGAGCAATGCAGCAAGCCTTTCAGTGCTCTAGTG